GTGATCAGATTTGCAGAGTTTAGTTTTCCATATTTGTCTTTCCCAGTGCTGAAAATAAAGGGATTTAAAAGTTTCTTACCTCATGGTGTTGGATCAAGAAAAGCTTGACATCACTGGCTCAGTATTTAATGCTAGAAGTTGAGGTTCTTATGGGAAACCATTTGAAACGTGGCCAGAGTGAACCCATCGAAGCATGTCAGTCTGGGGCCTGGTATCTGCTTATGGATTGTGTTTATTTACATTCTCCCAGTTATTTACGTGGTGATCTTTTTTTTCTCCTGTGGCTCCTGGTGAAGACATTTTATTATACATATTTAGGTGTCTAGAGAGTTTCATTCGTGTTCTGCCTGCTCACTTGCTATCAGCTCTGTGAAGTGAAGGCAGAAGCCCCTATCAGCACACACTGTAGGCCGGATGCCTAAAATCTGCACGACAGGCTGCGAGTCTGTGAGCCAACTTGGACTGGATGTTATAGTCCTACGTTTTTGTTTAGGGAGAGTTTTTCCCCTACATGTAGGGAACCCTGAAGGAGACTAAGGAAAATGAGCCCTGCTGAGTGTGTGTGTTCTACTCAAAAGACGAAAGACTGCATGTCTGTATGCGTGTGTACCTATATGGATGCAAAAGGCATATATTCAAGATAGAAAAGCAAAAGGTGATGACCTCCCTAGTGGTGTTTAAACAACAAAAACATCCTGGAGTTTCTCACTTTTTATGTCACCTGAGACAAAAGCTTTGTTTAAAAAAAGAAGAAGAAAAGAAAGAAAAGCAACACTGTGCAATCATTTTAGATGATGGGGGCACAGAATTGAGCTGACACCTCATAGCAGCATACTAATAAGCTGCTTTAGGTCAAAATATCCAGTTATTTTTCCAATCCCTTACAAAAAAATGCTATGCAATTGCCAAAGTTATGAGTGGTCATTATCTCACTTTAATATTTTGTCCAGAATGGGGGGTTGGTCTGGGAACTCAATGACCGGAACATTGCCTTCCGTGACATTTCACTAATAAGGAGCATTGATGCACTGGGAAATAGTCTTTTTAGAAGTATAGCCCTTTACAGTAATTCTTGTTCATAAATCAGGACAGAGGATTAATAGTATGTCTGTTCCTCTGTGTACACAGATACAACAATACATGCACACTTTGTATATATGTGTGTCATCAATGACTGCAATCTCAAATTGCTTCTCTATAGCCTACTTTTTTTGTTTAATCCTCACCCAAAGATATTTTTCCATTGATTTTTAGAGAGAGGAAGAGAGAAGGAAACACAGAGAAATATCGATGTGAGAGAAACACATCAATTGGTTGCCTCCTGCACGCACCCTGACCAGGGCCTGGGCCAGGGAGGAGCCTGCAACCAAGGTACATGCCCTTGACCAGAATCGAAACTGGGACCCTTCAGTCTGCAGGCCGACACTCTATCCACTAAGCCAAACTGGCTAGGGCTCTATAGCCTACATTAAAATATTAGCAAATCATTGTGTTTGGTGTTATGTGTTTCACTGATTCACTAATATTCATTGTCCATCTCAAATGTCGAACACTGTGCTAAGCGGCAGAAATAACAAAGACTACTAAAACAGAGGCTCTCAAATAGCCCATGATTTGGTGTGGAGACAGACATCTTAATAGAGTAAACTCCATATAAGGTATATAACTATTTGAATTGAGAACATATAAAAGAAACCCCATGATAATACTGGCTTGAGCACATACAGGATTTACTTGCTCACACACACAAAAAAATGTCAAGATGTAATCCAGGGGTTCTCAAACTACGGCCCGTGGGCCACATGCAAATACAAATATTGTATTTGTTCCTGTTTTGTTTTTTTACTTCAAAATAAGATATGTGCAGTGTGCATAGGAATTTGTTCATAGTTTTTTTTTTAAACTATAGTCCGGCCCTCCAACGGTCTGAGGGACAGTGAACTGGCCCCCTGTTTAAAAAGTTTGAGGACCCCTGATGTAATCAGTCTAAGTAGGGTTCCGGAACCAGGCTCTTTCTCTTTCTGCTCTGCTTTCCTTAAAGCAAGGTTCCCATCTCAGAACTGTCCCGTTCTACAGGATAAGCAACCGGAGCTCACAGGACAGCAGGAAGGCAAAAGACAGAAGGGACCTTCCCCGGCTAAGTCAACTTGTTGAAGTAGCCTTCCCAGGCGCCCCACACACTTCCACTTTTATTTCACTAATTACAGCTTGGTCACATGGCCCATGAGAAATATATTCTTTTAACTGGAGATATTGCCAACCCAAATAGAATTGAGAAAACTAAGGAAGATGGATATTGGGTGGCAACCAGTTATCTGCCTCATGGAGTTATGAACAAAAGGCTGAGGAAGCATGAAGCAAGAAAGCAGTTAACTCTGGAATCTGGAAAAGGCTTTTTTTTTGAGAAGGAGACAATTGGGGGTTTGAAGGATGAATAGGAGTTTGCCAAATAAAGAATTGGGAACGTTTGCCAAATAAAGTTTGCCAAATAAAGAATTATTTCCAGGCAGAAATAATAATATGTGCAAAGACGCAGAGGGGTCTGACATTATACCTGCCAATGAAGCCCATTTCTTATGCCTAATTTTCCTCTGTTATTAATGATAGCTCTTAAAAGAACAGTTTAACTAGTTTTTAATTAATCAAATAGTTATAAAAGATCAACAGATTAAGGTATGTCAACAGTAATTTTCCTGATGTAACTGCAAATAATTTTCCACTTGGACCAAAATAAGAACACTTATCTGATGATAAAGTATTCCACATTTTAAAAATAATTGAGTTAGAATATTTTGGCATCTTAAAAAGGAATTGATACAGAGAGAGGAAAAGCAATTGTGTCAGGGCGATGTTTGTCTTTTCAATTCTGAAGTTAAACAAAGCCCATTTAGAACTGACTTGGTTCATATCCTGGGGTCCATAAACCTACACTGAGAGCTCTTGGTGGTCTGCCCAAGTCAGCCTGAAAATATGTCACCTTCTATTTAGCGATTCCTAACATCACTGTTATTTTAGATCTGTGGAACTGGACTGTCCTTTTCTTAAAATGGCTTTAGAACCATAAGAAATATTTAGGATTAGGGAGGTTTCCATGATTATCTTCTTTTTGGCTCCTTTAGAGACATCAGAGCCTATTTAAAAATTTCCAGAGAAACTTAAGTCTTTTGAGAAACCTGAAATTTCTTTTATTTGAGAAATAAACCTAGTTAGCTTTGAGATACCTGAGAGTGTAAATTCCCATGCCCCACTGTGCACCTTGTCCTTCCACAGAGCTGAGTATCTTTCCAACTCCAAACAAAAGCAGTAGAGGCAGCGATTCTATGAATACTGCTTAAATTAAGATCGCCATGTTTCCTCAAAAGATTCAACCCTAAGGAAATCAGATGATTTAATCTTCTGATATTTTGATGGTGGTTATAGTTTGTTTGTTTTGCCAACTTTGCTTTTTGCTTACTTTCTTTTTAAAATTTTTATGTATTTATTTTAGAGAGAGAGAGAGGAAGGGAGAGGGAAGGAGAGAGAGAGAGAGAGATTGACTTATTATTCCACCTATTTATTCATTTCATTGGTTGATTCTTATATAAGGCCTGACTGGGAATCAAACCCACAACATTGATATATTGGAACAACTCTCCAACAAACTGAGCTACCCGGCCAGGGCCTACTTTTTGCTTATTTTCTAATTAGCTAGTATCTAGGCAAGACTAAAATATTCTGTAAACTCCACAGCAACATGTCCCCTTTTCCTAGTTAATCTGAGTCTTTATATCTCAGCTCAAAAGATGCTTTCTTAGGGACATCATCTCTGGTCTCTCAAACCAGATCAAATTCTCCATATTTTATGCTCTTGCAGTACCTGTATCTGTGTTTTATAGCTTGTATGGTGATTATCATTGTACATTATTGTATTTGGTGATTTGAGTAACGGGTGCCTCCACCACTAGACTCTTAAGTCCCATGAGGTTGGACCCCTATGTGCTTAAACTCTCCATTGGATTTTGTTCCTCGCACTGTGCCTGGCCCATAGCAGATCTCTGATCATTGTTGGCTGAAAGATTAAATGCCTTTTTGGTAAATAAATTTCTTCTGCACTCCCATTCCACACTGTGCTCAGACATGAGAGTGAATACAGAAGTTGCTCAGCTCCGGTGTGGGTTCATTTTGAAAATAACTTTGCTGCAGTCATATAGACGCACATTGAAGAAGTCTTAAGCCAGCATGCGCTTGGCTCTGCATGGACGACAGTTGGTGGAATGCTGACGTCGCCTCACTACAGCCTCTGAACCTACTGAGGGGCATTGCTGCTTCACCACAGTGAACCCCTCCAGGTGGAGTTAGCTTACCTTTGCTCCCCACTTAAGAGCCCAGCACTATGTTTTCTAAATGACATCTTTGCATTTCAAAAAATGTACAACCGTTGAAGGAGTTGGTGCTTTGTCATCTATTTTAAAAGATACCTGTGTGGTCTGGCTGGAGTGGCTCAGTGGATTGAGCACTGACCCATTCTCTAAGACATCCCCTGTTTGATTCCTGGTCAGGGCACATGCCCCAATGTTTCTACCTATCTCCCTCTCTCTTTCTCTCAAAAATCAATAAAAACATATTTTTTAAAAAAGATGCCTATGTGATTTGAGTGAATCATAATTATTGACAGTGGGAATTATTTTTGAATGAAGGTTCTATAATATCAATAGTGCCAGATCCTCCTCTCTCTCACACCTTTCCCCCTTCCTGATTCTCTCCTTCCCTTTCTCTCTCTCTTCTCCCTCCCTCCTTCCCTGCCTCTCTCTCTCCATCCCACCTATCTTTGTGTTTGTTTATTTGAGCTATAAAAACATCTTTACCCATGTTGTTTTTTTCTTCCTTAGCTTGATTCAAATTCCAGCTGAATTCAGTCCCTTGCATAGGAATCATGTTTTATGCCTCCTCAAAGACTACGGGAGGACCCTGGGTCCAGCAGTAGGCACCTGGTTGAATTACACATCTCTCTTTCTTGTTAGATTGTTGGCTGTGATCATCAGCTGGGAAGCACTACCAAGGAAGATAACTGTGGAGTTTGCAACGGAGATGGGTCCACCTGCAGGCTGGTCCGAGGGCACTACAAATCCCAGCTCTCAGCAACCAAACGTAAGATGCTACAGAGATGGGGCAATCTTTGGGCCTTTTGACTTGTTAGCTCCTCCCCCTCCTGCTCCTGCTTAGCTCCCTCAGCAACTAGTGAATAACAGCTTCCCCAACATGAAGCCAGACCTGAAAATATTGTGAAACGATTCATGACCCTGCTTTGTGGATTAGTTGAAGTGGGATAAATCGGGTCACCCATTGCAACCCCAAGGAGGAAACCTTTCTGTTTAAGATACCTTAGGAGCATCTAGACATACACTCTATGTGCAGGCATGAGCTAGTTGCCCAGCCTGAGGACAGACTGCATCCCCATTGCTCCTTCACACATAGTCAGATGTGCGTGGTGGAAGATAGCAGGGAGCATAAACAGATCAGAGCAAATCCACTCTCGAATGGTGAAATCACATGGTCTTCATTTACAAAGTGACTTTTGATCAGTGTTGATCACAGATTTTTTTCAGAATTAACATCAGGCAGCAATTATGTGAAGCCATTCGTTGCCTTTTTGTCCTAATTTCTCCGCACCAGCCCAATAAATGTGTGCTTACTATATAGCCGTGTATGCTGGAAACTTTACATGATCATCTCTTCTAACCCTTACAACAATCTTTTAGCAAGATGCTGTTTGCCTCCATGTTGCAAGTGAGATAACTGAGGCTTAGCCATGTTGTGTGACCTGCTCAGAGTGACACCGCCATAAAGTAGCAGAGCCAAGATTTAAGCCCAGGGTCTGATTCCAAAGCCTAAGCACATATTCATTCCTCTGGACTGTCCCATGGAACATGGTGGGACCTTTGTAAAGCAGTTAGATGGATCAAGGCAAGGAACCTCAGATATCTGCCTAGCTGGGTCCTGCTAGGGTAGGTGGTATATGTTCTCATAATATCCAACCCAACAACGGAGTCACACATCACTGTCGCTCTGTGCTTGGTACTGCAGCGGATGTAGACATAAATAAGACAGCCCTTGTACCCAAGGACATGCCATTTTAGAATAATTTGACCTTGCTTGGCATATTGTCTCCAGATTTTGCCCTTATCCAGAATCCTTCAATAGATCCTTGATTGAGTCTCCTCTGGCTTGGAAAGTGAGAAGGAATATCTTTACTAAATGTGGCTTTATTCACTTGTTGACTCAGTGGAGGAAAACAATTGACATATGAGAGGTTTATGGCTTTAAATGGACTTGCAGGTCAAGAAGAAAGGTAGTGGGTACTGGAGAACTATTCCGAGAAGTCCGGAAAAACCAGCTTGCCAAAAGAATTAGGCTCTAGGGCAGCGGTTCTCAACTTGTGGGTCGCGACCCCTTTGGGGGTTGAACGACCCTTTCACAGGGGTCGCCTAAGACCATCAGAAAACACATATATAATTACATATTGTTTTTGTGATTAATCACTATGCTTTAATTATGTTCAATTTGTAACAATGAAATTGGGGGTCACCACAACATGAGGAACTGTATTAAAGGGTCGCTGCATGAGGAAGGTTGAGAACCACTGCTCTAGGGGGAAGGAGGTGGCAAGAAAAAGAGCTAGGGACTTTTAAACACATGAAACATTGGAGGTGCCAGCTTGGGAAACTCTCCACATTCTAATACCCCTGCAAGCAGTGAAAAATGTGATTTTGAAAAAAAAATTTTTTTAAATACTCTGGCAGAGAGAATGAACGATGAGGTAAGTTAGACATTGATATAGTACATTCAGGCAAGATACTTTTTTTTTTTTTTTGGTCATGTTTGGTAGCATTTCTGTAAGATGAAAAATTAAAGAATTTAGACGATGAAAACCAGAGAAGGATAGAAAGTTAGAGGTGTAATTCTTTTGTAAATCTCTGAAATCACGGTGAGATATATTTGGGAGGGGCGGGGGAGGTACATTTAGAAAGTCCCTTTAATAGAACTCTTTAAGGAATACAGAAGAGTTAAAATCTTTTTCCTTGAGTCACATAACTGAGTCATGCTCATTCTCTCGGAATCTAAAAATTTCTATTAGGCACAAAAAGATGGCAGGCCTGTGTGCAGCAGCTGCTGAGGGCATGTTTTTCCTTCATTCCTTCTTGTGTCCCCCGCCTTCCCATCCTCATAGAGGAGCCTGAACATGCCGGTTGGATAGATGATCCTCTTACCCTCCTGTTAAAAGGTGATCCAGGACCTTTGGGGCCAGAATCACTGGAGCAAAGGTGGAGAGACGCTGAAGGAACAAACTGAGGCAAAATGAGAGCCATAAGTCATCTCGGGGTCTGCAAATAGACACCTCAGTGCAAACCGCTCTACTCGAGAGCGGCAGTGGGTAAATTACATAATGCACAGCCCGATGATTTTCCGTAATGACAAAACGCAATTGATTCGTTTACCTTAGCACTGATGATGCCTCCTGACAAAATGATTTATATCAATAAAGCCCAGCATCTGCGTGCACCTCACCACAATCTATAGCAGATGCTGAACAAACGGCCCCGTTCATGTTTTCCCCACCCCAGAAGGACCTTCCGCCCAGATTTACAGGCTGCGGGGTGACCCACAGGCAGGGAACATTCGGCTGCTCTGCGGGGCCCAGTGCAGTGGCCAGGTGAGCAGCTTTCCACCCGTGAAGGCCCGGAGACTTCTGCCAGGCCCCTCCCCGGCTCTGCCAAAAGCACAGGGAGCCAGCCGCATGCTCTTTCGAACTCCCAGCACTCGGATTCCCCACATTGAACTCATTTTCTTCTGAACTTACATCCAACTTTTTTTTTCCTTGTGTTATCAAGCCCTGGGGGAACAAAGAAAACACAGAAGAGGGGAGAAAGACCACGGTGGAAAGTGCCAGAAGGGAAGGTAGAGCAGGAGGAACTTGCAAATGGCTTCCCTTAGCTGGCAAAGAAAAAAGAAACCATATTTGTACTAGAAGACATGACTTTTTGCCTAATACAAATGCAGGCAACAGAAAAAGAGCTAGGTCAGGCCCTCCTTCCCCCTTTTCAGAAGAGAAAGCTGTCCACTGAGAGCATTCAGTGTTTCCATTCATCCTGGTCACTTCGTTTCTATTCCCCCAGCCCAACAAAAAATAATCAGATTTAGCTAACACTAACTTACGTTTGGTTCTTGGTATTAAAGACTCATTTTCTCCCAAATTTCACTGGCTTGTGCTGTATTATGTGTTTTCCAAGTCTGTTCAGAACATACTTAGACCTAGAGCCAGCCTATTTGCTATCAATTTGATGTCTCCAGCTTTGCAAACCTCTGATACGTATCTGTGTGTTTTGAAATCTGCTGGGTATCCTAAAGATCTCTCTCCACCTCTCTTGAGTGGCAAGAGCTGGATACACTAATTTATATCAAGATCAAATGAAGCTCCTAAATGCTTGGCTTCACTTCTCAGACTGTGGCTTATGCTGATTTATAATAACGATGGGTAAATGTTTTCCTGGACTATTATTTTGGATCAAAGATTTTGAGGTAAAGGATGTTCATAATAAAACACAGATCTATGTATTATAAAGTGAATAATACATAGGAACGTTTTAAAGAAAGCACAAATTTTTAAAGAAATTTCTACCTTGAACTTCAGGTTATACACACAAGCTACTTATTCATTCATTCATTCATTTATCATTCATTCAGCAGAAGTTCACTTATTTATTCCACAACAAATATTTCTTGGATACCTGCTATGTGTTAAGGAACTATTTTAGTACTGGAAACATAAGAAAGAACAAAACAGATGAAAATCCATTTTTCTCATGGGGCTTACATACTAATGTGAGGGACAGGCATGTACAGGGACAAAACAAATAACTAAATAAAATAATATATGTGTCATATGGTGATAGGAGAATAGTAAGGCAGGAAGAAGATTGGAAAAAAAGTAAGGTGGGGAAGGAGAAGAATTGGATATTGGGCTGCTAGCCAAGGGTACTGGAGAGTTAAAAAGGTTAGTAAGAAAAGATTCACTAATAAAATGGCATTTGAGCAAGCATCTAAGGTAGGTACCAGTGGCACACCACACAAAAGTCAAGGGGGGAGAGAATTCCAGGCATAAAGAACAGCAAGTGCAAAGGGCCTGCAGTAGATGCATTCTTAACATATTTCTTGAAGAGCAAAGAAGCTTAGGTGTGGTGGAGAATGGCACCCATATTGCAGGATTTTATAAGGACTCTGGCTTTTAATTTCAATGAAATGAGAAGTCACAGGAGGATTTTTAGCAGGGGCATGATTTATTTTAAAGGGATCACTCTACTATGCTGAGAATAGATTATAAGGAGTCCCAACTGTGAAAGTAAGAAAAGCAGTCAGGAGGCTACTACAGTAAGCCAGGCCAGGGATGATGATGGACCATGGTAGTAGCATGAAGGTAAGAAATGTTCCAATTTGGGATAATTGCATTTCTTTGAATCTAAGACATCATTGCTTGAAAGATGTGCCATTATTTTATTTTTTAAATATATTTTTATTGATTTCAGAGAGGAAGGGAGAGGGGGAGAGAGAGAGAGAAACATCAATGTTGAGAGAGAATCATTGATTGACTGCCTCCTGCACACCCCATACTGGGGATCGAACCTGCAACCCAGGCATGTGCCCTGACTGGGAATTGAACCACAACCTTCTGGTTCATAGGTCGATGCTCAACCACTGCACCACACCAGCCAGACTGTACTATTATTTTATACACCACTAAGAGAGAAAAAAAAAGTCATTGAAATTAAGAAACTATGACACTGCCTTCTGACCACTTAGGGCTTTTACTTCTTAACTTCTATAAGGTCTATTTTAAACTTAGATATATTTTTAGACTATACTATATTGCACTGACACATCCAGAAAGGGAAAATAAAACTGAAATTAATAAATTGATAAAAAATTAAACTTTTTCTCAAACTTCAATTCTTTTTAATCCCTTTAGACTCAGTCAATTTCCACATCGTTAGGGTACTTGTGATACAGTATTTTTAAAAGAATCCAAAAAAGAAATAAAGTCCATAAGTATTGGGCACTTTTGTTATAAATGATATGCAATAAACTAGATAAAG